GAAGCAAAGAAGCTTTTAAACGAAAAGCTTTGAAAAGTAGAGATGGTCCCTAAGGACCATCATGTTCAAACGAATCATCATGTATTAAAAGTTTATTTTCTTCTTCTTTTTTTTTTCTTTTTTTTTTCTTTCAAAAGTTTAGGATTGTTACATCTTAGCCTTTATAAACTCAAAATTATTATTATTTTATTTTTTAATATTGTTTATCTAATGATAATAAAGCCATCCAAAAAAATGGGATATGAAAAAATCCTTCTAAGGCTTAGATCTAAGTATCTCACCAAAATGAACGGCCTATGTTAATTGGGCTAAAAAATATTTTCTAGGTTGTGTTTTCAATTTTTTTTTTTATTGTTCATTAGAATGAAAGAGTGTATATTTCAAAATTTGGATCAAACAAATGGTCATAAGATAGGTTTTTAAGGTTGTTGCATCATATTACTATACAACGGTTGCATAAAATCATTGTTCTTGAATGAGGTATGGACTTGCTGCCCAAAAAAGTCATTATTTTATTTTATTTTATTTTTTCCCCAAATTTGAAGCCCAATACTTCTCAACATCGCTAATACTACAAATTTATCGTCATAACCACATTCGGTCGCCTTTTTCAAAACTGCAAATTATGACCATATGAGAGAAGGTATATTTGAGGTGATGCAATCGTTAGGATTATAGGGGTTGCATACTATGAGATCATTTATACTTGGTACAAGGAGGTGACCATCATTTTAACCATTAGATGTCAAATCTAATAGATGAAAGTGCGTCGTAATATTCGATAAAGTTATTTTTTTGACTTTATATCAAACAATGACACATTCTCAACCACCAGATTTCAAATCTAACGGTTTTGATTTCAAATTTAATAATCAATGGTGATTGTGACTTCTTTATAAAAAATAAATAATCTCAATATATAAAATTATTTTTGTTTTTGATGGGTCATTGCTTCATAATTCCTATGGGCTCGCTAATATATTCTTGACCATAAGAGTATAAAAGATCAAATCTTTTAGATAAATTTAAAAAATACTCTGTGTCGGCATCGATAAGAAGTGGACACTTATCGCAAAATAAGAGACCCTATCTCTGGAGAGATTGTACAGTTGGTGCTTTTCAAATAGAAAATAAAGGATGCATATAGAGAGAGAGGGCGTGAGAGGGAAGGATGTATATAGAGAGAGGGGGCATGGAAAATAGGGGGTTAGAGAGAGAGAGAGAGAGTTACGTGGGGTATGAGAGAGAGGGAATTTATTTTTTCTAACTCCTCATATAATATGGAGAAAGAGAAAGTTAAGGATCTCTCCTAAAATTGAGAAAGAATATATATAGAAGAGAGATCCTAAAATTGAGAGATAATAGGAGATGTATTCTAATTTGAATTGGCATTCTTTATGGATATTTGTCAAGGCTATAGAATTTAAATTCAAGATGGCGTGTTTCTGCTTTCCATTTTGGTACATATGTGATAATTTGAAGGAAAATTGTTTCATGCGAGCTGGACTGCATGGCTGCATATGCGGTCTAAAAAGTGTAAAGTGTCCATCTTAAAGATGGCAACAAGTAGGTGTTCCAGTGTTTGTAAATTCAAACCGGAACGGTTAATCAGACATAGGCTTGGAAGCAAGTTAAACTGGCCTAACCGGTAAATCGGGTGATTCAACTGCTCTAACCGGACAAGTCCCCGACGGTAAAAAAAGTGTTGAAAAAAATACAAAAAAAATTCACTAAAAGATGACAAGCATATAAAGAATGATTAAAACAAAACCAATTCAAATGAAGTTGAAAATTAATGAAAGAAATGGATTTTAACCTATTTTATATTTTCTAATGGCTATTTTTAAATTTTTTTGAAAAAGATGACAAAATATAAAAGTTAGTATTAATGACCAAAACAATTTTTAATCTTTACCATAGTGTAAATAATATTTAAAAATGTATTACAAATCAAATTTCTTATTTTTGAGAATTTATATACATTTTTTTGAAGTTTTTTTTAAAAATACCGGTTGATCACCCTAATCGCACAAATCCGGAACCGGCCACAGTTCTGATCTAATCGGGAAGTTAGTGGTTAGATCGAGCGATTTTGCGAACAATGAGGTGTTCCATCTAAAAACAATAGAAACTAACGGTCCAAATGTTTTCTTACTAGAATTATTATTTTTAGTTTTTAAAATTTACTTATTTTTTTATATTCATGATCTCCATGTTAGAGATTACATGTCCTCAAAAATTAAGTCCAAAAATCCATCTCAAAAATAGATTTATTAATAAGCCCGCATTTCTATATATGCGAGTTTGGCAACATAGAAACCGGGTCCTAATTTGAATTACCATATGTCCACTTTTTTACCAAATTGTGGTACAAATATATGAGAGAGAAATCTGAATTAGTAACCTATCTCTCTCTAAATGGTACGGTTTCTATAAGGTCGGAACCTTAAACAATCCAATTAAGGCGCACTTCCAAATTTCATCATAACAGGTAATTTTGGTATAAAAAACTCCTAAGATTATCTGAAAATCTATTTTCATATCTAATTATAAAATTTTAAACTCAAAAAATGATTAAAATCAATTAGATAGATAAGCATATGAAAATCTTGAAAATAGATGATCTAGATAATGTGTTGCAAGACGCACTATTTTTGAAACTCAAAATCTTTTTTTCTTCATATTTATATATCTCAATGTTGAGATGATCAATTAGAGGGTTTTTCAACATTAAAACAACATGTTATGATGAAATTTTGAGGTGCATCTATGATTCTACATTTTAAGGTGCATCTTTATATAAACTTTTTCCCTCTCTAAATATTGTTCCATATATGGAGCACAAGATTTTGTTTTATGTATTATTTTGGATGGATATTATTCTTTTGATGGACAACTCATGACAGATCCACCAAATCATATTATTTAATTTTTTTTTTTGTCTTCTTCAATATTATTTAAAGTCATTTAAAGCTAAAAGATATTATACTCATGTCGGAGTATACTATCCATTTATTCCATCATGTAAAACCTACTTAAAATTAATTTTAGGACCCAAAATTGGGGGATGGAACCTCTCCAACTCATAGATTAACCTCAATAAAAAAAAATCCCAATTGTATCTTCTATACACTTAGAAAAAAATGATGTCTTGTGATTGAACAAGGAACATGTCATTTTCAAATGGTGAGATAGTTTTGAAATCAATTTTCAATTGGTGAGATCTGAGATCTAACTATTGGAAAACTCAAATTTCAAAATGTTAGTTTTGAAATCAACGGTATAGCATATTGCAATATATTGATAATAAATCATTACGTAGAGAGATCTGGTTTTTTTATCTTATCTTTTTAATGCTAAATATTTTAGAAATTCCAAAGTAAAAAATAAAATAAAATAAAATGGTAAACAGGAATCTCAAAGTAGATGGAGATTTAGGAGCATAATCCAACTTGAAAAATTGACGAAGAAAAGGTTTTGTTTTTTCTATACGCATTAATATCTGCAACGCAATAATCTCACTGGTATCAGGAAAGGTGGAAACACCACACCAGTTAGTATCAAGAAGGATGGAAAAAAACCAAAATGAAAGCCGTGTGCAAATGGATGGGTGGGCACCTACCAGACCCGACATGGATTAGGACCCAATTTGGTCTGTCTCCATCAGACACAGACTTGACCCACCAAGTAGCATCCGGTCTAAACTCACACACACAAATCGGAATAGGGTTGAGCCCAACCCAACACCAGCTGACCCGGAGACGTTTGGGCTGGACCCAGATTCAGTTGGGTCGAGGCATGTTGGACCCAGACCCTAGTTGCGGGGTCCACTTCCTTTGGACCGGATTTGCATCCCAGAACCAGAGAACCCAAACTGCTCGGATATACGAAGGATCTAATTCTTTTCCCAAGGGATAGTCGAAACCTATATACGTCACCTATTCAAATGATTTTATCGTTTTATTAAAAGCTAAGAACTTAAAAAAAAAAATAGGAGAGAAAGAGATTAAAATTTGGCATCATGAACTTCAATCAAAGAGTGTGGTTGCCTTAAGCCACGAATGTCATGCTGCGCAGGCAGAAAAAAAAAAAAAAAAAAAAAAGGGGTAAATTTTGTGTGTGCGTGTGAGAGAGAGTCATTTCCACAGAGAAAGAGAGAATCATTTCGAAAAAGAGAGACATTTCCAGAGAGAGAGAGAGAGAGAGAGAGAAGAGACTATTTTCTTGAGAGAGGTCTCATGTACTGAAACCAGGTATCCAAACTTCTCCCGCCAAAAACAATAACACCTTTTTCTTTTCTTTTCTCTTTAAATTATTTTCTTTACTGTCGTTGATAACGACAGTTATGTAATTCCACCTTAACGTTTAAACTTAAACAAACAACTACGTAAGTTCAATCGATCGACCCCATCAAAGGGGTCGTCTTTGAATAATTCCTGTAAAAAGAATATTTTTTACATTTCCAAACAATTGGAGAAAGAAAAATGAAAACAAAAACCCTATGTCTAACTATTCAATCTTCATTTTACCAAATTTCACAAAGAAATTCAGATAAATTCTCCTTATCCGGCCCCTTTGATGAATCGGCTTACCAGAAATGGCGAAGAATCGCAGTCTCCATCACAAAAGTTCCTCTCAAAAAGGCCTTTTCAGGCCCTTAAAGTCACCTGAATCAACGCATTCCCATCTCTCTCTGTAAGAATTCGTCACCTTCAAGAGATCAGTCACTTTCTCTTTGATCTTTCCTTCGCATCCAACCTGTAAAAGAAGCAAAAGCTTCTGGAAAGCTCCGACCTGTAAAGCTTCTGAAACAGATTTGAGCTTGCATTCTTCATCTTTGCATAGTCTCCACAGCACGGTGACTGAGAGCTCGGTCACGAGATCAGAAACGCGAAAGATCTTCTTCACCACTAGAGGCACCATCAAAGCGTGCTCGCTGGCTTTGGCCCTTCCTTCCTTGCTCTTGCACAGAGCATCAATGGCGGCCATGGCTTTTTCGCACACTGATCTATCTGAATCAGGAAGAATGTCAAGAATTGCAGAGATAAATCCTAATTTCACTGCCTTTGCCCTAATTTCCTCATCCGAGGAGCACACGTAAAAAACAGTGATCAATGAGGCCTTCAAAGAAGAAGAACAGATTGGGTCTCGGATAATCTGCAACAGAGATTCAAAGAGGCCATCGATTTTCCTGAAATCAATTGTCAATTCACCATTGGAAGCAATCTCTTTGATCAACAAAGCTGAATTCTTTCTCAATTCGAGGTTCCCCTGTCGAAGCCCCTCGATTAAACAGAGCAAAATCTCTCTAGACGAAAGAAAAGAGAAAGCTTCCAAGGTTAATGGCGTCAACACCATAAGCAAAGCCATTATCTCCTCCATCAAAGCCCTGCAATCTGAGTTTCCTGCCCTTGATTTTCCAGCTATTTGCAGGAAAATCGAAGCCAAAACTCTTCCGGCTTGTGAAGAGGCAACACAACGCCTGTTTCTCTCACTTTCTCTTACCGAAATCTTAAGTTTCCTTACCAGCTTCAAGCAATTCGCAAGATTACGGTCGCTTGAAACTGATATCTCTGATAAAATTTCAGAAACCCTAGCTTCACTGATTGGAATCTTAGGAGTAGGGATCCTATCAACTCCATTGGAGCTATTGGCGACGCACCAGCTCTGAATCATGCGACGAAGAGCATGGTTGGGAATAAGCTCTGGTTCATGAACTGGCTGGTTCGTTACAGGGCAAGTCTTTCCACCTTCATCGAGCCATCGTTCAATGCTCTGGCGATCGTACGTTATACCAGTAGGCATTATCACGGGATCTCTCATCAATTCAAGAGAGATGGGGCACTTGAAATTGCTCGGAATCTGAATGCTCTTGATCCCTGGTTTCAACTTTTCTGGCAACTTTGATCGCCGTGAAAACATTTTCCGGCGAAGCTAATGTAACCGCCTGGTTTTTTCTGAGAGAACACCCTTTCAATTGCCGGAAATCTTTAGGTCTTAACGATTACTGGTGAGAATCCTGCGCTAGCGGTTTGGTACTTTCGGGTGGCAAAAATCGCGTTCAGGGAATTTTCCGGCGAGATAATTGTTGCGGCATTAGATGGGGTTAGGAGAGTTTTTATAGGGGAGGGTAAGGTGCAAATCCCCTTGGCGACGTTTATTGAGTTGATTAAGGAGAGAGAGAGAGAGAGAGAGTTAGAGAGAAGAAAAAAATTAAAAAGAAAAATAAAAAAATATAAAAAAACGAGAGAGAGAGAAAAAAGAATTAAAGAAAAAAGAATTTAAAGAGTAAGGAGAGAGTGAGATATGGTTTAGATATTAGAGAGAGAGAGTAGAGTTAGAGAGAGATGGTTTGAAGTTTTAGAGAGAGAAAGCGAGTCTGAGGGGTTGAATGTTGACCTTTGAACCAGACAAAGGTTTGAATGGGGGCGGGGCGCGATGTCGGTCCGACGAACCGTTTGGGGCATACTTTTCTTTAATAACTCAAAGCCAATGAGGGACCAGCATTAAAAAATCCCCACGTACACTATGTTCCCTCGGGAGCATACTTTATTTTTACTCCCTCCCTCCATCGATTAACATACCTATTTGGAAAGATTTTTTTCAATGTAATTTTTTGGAAACTACTTATAATTCCTAGACATTATTCTTAAAAAAAATTCGATATTTGACTTTCCTAACATTTATATTTCACCATCGGAAATAAAATGGTCTCTATTCAACCTAGAGACATTTTTTTCTTTTTCAAGTGCATAACATACACAATTAGTGATTTTTCTTTTTGAGGTCAATCCATGGTTTAAAATGGTGATAGGTCTTATCCGAGGGAGTAAACGAATGTGCTACTCCCTCAGGAGTTGAATATATTTTTGGCTTTAAAAATTGCAATTGACAACTAGAATTAGACGGGGAAACGGTCACTCGTTTGAACTTTGACTTGGTTCGTTCGTCAAAAAATGCGCAGGTGGCCATCGTCTTTTAAACCTAGGCTTTGGAGAATAGGTGAGTTTTTGCCCTTTTGGGCTCCCAAAAACAAGACCTCAAAATTAAGGGGAGACCGATTGATTAGGGTTTGGATCTAAGGGTTTCACATTGAATCAAGACTACTGCAAATTTGGATATGAGAATTTCCAAAGGAAAATAAAAAATAAGTAAAATTAAGATTAATTAATTTCAAGAATGATTATTTGATTGAATGAATTTCCATATTTCGGCCGAACAATGTTTGGATTTTTTTCTAATTATGTTGAATTACTATTTAAATTTGGCGACCGGAATTTAGAAACTATTGATGGCTTCAACAAAGTCCAAGGTTGACCAAAATAAGGCAAAATTCAAAACTATGGATGAATTTGAACTCCTTTAGGAATAGAGAAGTCAAAATAAAAAAATAATTTGGAACAGCAAAAAATAAATAATAAAAATTAATTTCTATGAATTTTGAGATCCTAAAATTTTTCTAAGTTAGAAAATGAGAGCAATTTAGAGAATATTGATGTTATTTGCAAGAGTTGAATATGATTCCGACAAAAAACTGGAAATTTAAAATTAAGGATAAGGAGCGTAACAAATTTACTTGCAGTTGCCTAGCATCTCATAAACTATGGGAAAATATTATTAAATTTTATGTCTATAATACAAAAACGTCAACAATCACTCCTAGCTATAAGAGTAAGACATGAAATTAGTGCGGATTGGATAGGCCATCAACCGTACCCAAAGCCCACAAAAGTTTCTTAAATTTCCTGTAAAGAAATGATACACCCCTAGCTTTCTGATTTCTCATTTGGCTAAACGGATGGTTGTGAACTTCTTCTACAAAAGTAAATTTTTTCTACGATCCCTCGGTTAGAAGAAAGTAACTTTTTTCTACAATCCCTCAATTTATTTAGTTAATAAAATATCAATATTTTATTTCAATTTTGTCTTAGATTAGCAAAAGCTGGGATAATGTCGTGATTTTTACAATAGATAGAATCCGAAATATGCAGTTGAGCCCAAAATTTAGAGATTTCAAATATAGAACAATATGAGGATATGGTAAATTTGTTAACTTGAAATTTGGGAGCACCTTGATGCTCTTTCACAATGTAATTTTGGATTTGGGTGCATAAGTAAAATGCAATAATTGAGTTATAAGATATGTGTAATGATCCTACGAGACCTTTCCACTCCCATGTGTGTAAGATCTCAAAGGATCACCATTCAATTTGACACAGATCTTTAGAAAAGTTATCGCATGGATGTGAGACTTGACTTTTTTAAATATCTGTACCAAATTGAATAGTGATCCTCCGAGGTCCTACACTCATGGGTAGGGGAGGATCTCATAGGATCATTACTCATGAAATATTTATGAAAATATTCCTGACTTTTCAACAATTTAACAATCTACCTTTTGTCAACCATTCAAACTCAATGGTCATATGTATTTTGATGGGCATTTTGAAATTAAAGCAAAAGTTATGAGTATAATGTTTAATAGTTGATCTCTTGTTTTGATAAATTTTTCGCTTGATAACTTATTGTGGTTGTCATATACTAGAAACAATTGTATGTTCCCTTGTTTCTATACTATTATTTGAAAGTATGAATATCTATTCTATAATTTTATTGGGGTTTCTACTCTTTATTATTACATGCAATTAATTGGATTTTTCTACGATTCTATTGTCAAATGAAATATTCGCACATTCTGTGTAATATCATAATATTACATGACGATGATAAAGATGATGGACTTTTAAGATGAGACTAGTATTTTTCACCCACAAATCACAACCACCTCAATCTTATGAATGAACAACTGGATGGCTTTGGTGCCATTTTTCTTCACAAAAAGTTTGATAAAATAACAACAACAATAAGCTTTCTAACTTAATATTGATTTTTGGGTAGTTAGAGACATGTCAATAGCTTCTTTTTTCTTTTTGGGTAGATAAGTGAGGAATACAAGCCCCTACACGTTTTTAGAAATAATTAGTGGTTTTCAAATGTGTCAGTGGGAATGAAAATCTAGATTGGTAGCTGCGGCTCAAGTGGTGCTACCATCAGGACCTCAATGCCATTTCTAGTCATGCTAATAGCTCATCGACAAGAAATGCAATTTATTCCTTTATTTGTGGATAAAAAATCATTATCACTTTTGCAGTAAAACACTCTTTTCAAACATCTATGGGTGATTAATTCCACAACTAGCTAATTTAAATTAGGAAAAAGTTTATATAGAGCCAAGGCTCTAAACAATTAAATTAGGCCACCTCAAAAATTTCACTAGAAGAGGCTGTTTTGATACCCAAATATCCTCAAATTGATCATCTTGACATCAAGATGGGTGGACATGAGAAAAAAATGGATTTCAAGTTTTGGAAATAGTGCATCTTGTGACACATATTTAGATTGTCAATTTTCAAGATTTCCAAATTTTCATGGATGTGCTCGATCTGCACTATTTTTTAAAATTTAAATTTTGTAATTCAAGATAGAAAAAATATTTTAAGGCTATCACAAAGATTTCCAATATTGAAACCACATTTCTCGATACTATACACTATATAAAAGTGCACTTTACCTTGCTTGTTTAGAGCCTCGGCTCTATACAAACCGCACCCTTTAAATTAACCGGTTTCCATTGCGACACCACGGATCGCTTGGGTTCTGCCCAAAGACCCCATCCTCAATCTTTACAAGAGCTCTCCCCTCACGAGATCTAATTTCTCTCAATAAAATTGTTTATAGCGCTTATCAGAAACTTGGCTTGTCAAACTTGGAACCAGCCAGTCAAACAGGAATCGGGCACTGGCGGATCCAATTTTGGTGGTCTGGCTGAGTATTTAAAAAAAAAAAAGAAATAATAAAAAAATGAATTATTTGTAATGTATTTTTGAATGTTATTTATCATTTTGGAAAAAATTGGAAAGTGTTTTGGCTATGAATACTTATTTTTATATTTTTTCATCTTGTTTTTTAGAAAATTTTAAAAATATCCCTGAGCACATATCGATATTTTAAAATCCATTTTTTTTCAATACTTTTCAACTTCATTTGGATATGCTTTATTTAATCATGCTTTAATTATACCTTTCATATTTTTTTGAAGGGAAAAGTAATATACTTCTCATATTTTTTTGAAGGGAAAAATTTAAACAATCAAATTAGAACCTACCTCAAAAATTTCACTAGAAGATGTTGTTTTGATGCCCAAATATTCTCAAATTGATCACCTCGACATCAAGATGCATGATCATATGGAAAAAAAAGGATTTCAAGTTTTGAAAATAGTGTATTTTGTAACGCATTTTTGGACCGCCAATTTCAAGATTTTCAAATTTTCATAGATCAGTTGATCTACACTATTTTTGAAGCTTTAAACTTTATAAATAACGATGAAAATGTATTTTAAAGCTATCACAATGATTTTTAGTATTGAAACCATATTTCTCGACACTATTTGAAGGTAGACTCTAATTTGATTGGTTAGAGCCTAGGCTCTATACAAACAGCATCCTTTTTTGAATTGTTTTTTTTATTTTTTCTTAAACTTTTTGGACTGTTGGGGCTTGCCCAGTTAGGCCGGTTGAACCGGCCAGTTTACAGGTTACTGAAAGTTTATACAAGGTTGCAACCTTAAAATGTAGAATTACAGATGCACCTAAAAAATCTATCAGCAAGGTTGTTTTAATGTTGAAAATCCCTCTAATTGATCATCTTCACATTGAGATGTTTGAGTATTAAAAAAAAAAAAGGTTTTTGAGTCCCATAAAAAGTGCATGTTGCAACACATTATCTAGACCGTCCATTTTCAAGATTTTCATATGTTTGTAGATCTACTTGATTTCAACCATTTTGAAGTTTAAATTTTTTTAATTAGATATAAAATTAGCTTTTAAAATAATCCTAAGAATTTTTTACAATAAAATTATATTTTATAATAAATTTTGAAGGTGCACCTTAATTGGATTGTTTAAGGTTGAACCTTAAGCGGCACCCTAAAAATAAATGGTGTCTTTGTATACTTTTTCTTATTTATTTATGCGTTTCAAAACAAATGGTTCTGCATGAAGTTTTGAGTCATCCAGGATTGACGCACAAATGAAATTGTCTTAATATCAC